TTAAGCCACTTGCAAAGCTTTTAGAAAGCACGAAGATGCTGGGGTTGGGCATTTGAAAGCCGCTGCCATTGGCTCCTTAGGAGAGGCAGGGACTGCTCATGGAATCTGTGAGGTAGGGCCGTTGTGAGTAGGCTACAGGGCCAGAGTAAGCAGGTTTAGACCAGGCGGTTATCTTACTTTCTCCCAAGGCTGTCCATAGCAGGTGGCTTAGGAACGGGGCAGCTCCACATATGTTGGGAGCTGGCTCCTCCCCTCTAGATCTTTGCTCTTCGTGGGTTTCCATGTTTGGGCCTGGAGAAGGCCAAGCCTGTAGGCCAGTTCTCTCTTGAGGGTTCCCAGAGGCTTCCGCACCTGGGAGGTTTCCTTGGGGAGGCTTGTAGGAGTGTCCAGTTTTTTGACATTGTGACAGACATCATCATCTATGAAGTTCATGCACCAAAGCCATGTAGTCAAGTAAACCTCCCCCAAACAAAACCTTGCTGTGTTAAGCAGACTAATGATTTTGTATTGGGCAGCATTTATTGCTCTCCTGGGATGGATGTGGCTTGTGGGCCATGGGTTGGAGAGGCCTTGTAACTGCACTTGCTGCAGGTGAAGCTGGGAAGGTGAGTCTGTCCGGTGGCCATCTGCCCTGAGATACTAAGGTAGGCATGCTGGTGATTCTAGTATCTGTGCAGCCTTGAAAACTGCAAAGATTTGCCTGTGTGTGTGCATTTTCCTGGAAAAGGCTCTGTGGTGCATTTCCAGTTCTTTGGGTTTGCTAGACCCTGGACTGTGTTCAGTCTAGTGCTGAAATTGGCTGGTCGGCTTTAGGACTGTTGCCTCTGCCCAGAGCTAATGCTTACCCCTTCAATAGTTTCTGCTTCTCAATTCTAAGCGAGAAGACAGGCTTTATGTATAGCATGAGGTACATTATCTGTCAGCCATTGCTGCTCTATACTTCCAGTTCCTCCTCAGAAGCCTTGGGAAGCTGTGGGCACAGAGTTCCAGGGCTATTCTCCCTCACCTAGGGGAGCTGCACCTGATCCCAGGCTCTGGGACAGTCCTCAGGCTGACATTGAAGACAGCAGAACTGATTGGAGTTGGGATAGTGATGTCCTGGTGTTACCCTGATGCTGTCAATGTGTGTATCTGATCACTTTTTAGAAGCATATTTTAGAGGCAGAATATGGCAGGAAGAGGAGAAATAGAGTGTTCTTTCCTCCCATGTGTCTCAGGCCATTGAGTCTCTAGACGGTATATGCTGTGCATTTCTAGTCTGTCCCCTTTCCTGCTGTTTCTGCTCCCAGAGAGCAAGGCTCAGAGCCACTCCTTGCACAGTGCATGGTGTCCCACTGCTGCTGCTAAAGACTCCAGCTTGGGTTCCATTATGGTTCTTTTTTGAGTGCATCTTCACACAGTATGTGTATATACTGGAAGGTTCCTGTGTCCAAGGAGATTACTCCAAGGCCCCGCAAGCTATTGGGCTCAATGCCTTGTCAGATGTGTATGTTTTCAGTTACCTAGCAGGTGGAGCATCTGTCCGTGTTTTGGCTTTTTTTTTTTTTTTTTTTTTTTTTTTTGAGACTGATTTCTTATGCTCAGTTTCAGATTTCCTAGTCTTTCCTATTGCTGTGAAAGAAAGAATTGGCCTATGTGTAGCAAGTATTTTTTTTCCTAGTTTCAGTTTTCCCTTAAAAATCCCTTTTGATGAGATCAAATGCAAACAAAATGGCATGTTAGGGTGTGGTGACTTGTGCTGCTGGTTGCATCAGGGTTCTGTGGGTGTCACTCTTGCATCTCGCCGTTGCACGACCAGACTTTAACTGTTGTTTAGCTTCTACCCAGTCCTTAGTTTTGTCAACTCTTTTTTTTTTTTTTTTTTTTTTTCCCGAGACAGGGTTTCTCTGTGTAGCTTTGCGCCTCTCCTGGAACTCACTAGATAGCCCAGGCTGGCCTCGAACTCACAGAGATCTGCCTGGCTCTGCCTCCCGAGTGCTGGGATTAAAGGCGTGCGCCACCACCGCCCGGCTAGTTTTTGTCAACTCTTAAAGTCTACTTTAACTTCCTACAGACAGCCCGCCCCCCACAATCCCTCCTGTTACTGTGTTAATTAGGTGTGTCAGCAGTGGTGCAGTACAACACGATTTTCTTTCTTTCTTTCTTTCTCTTTCTTTCTTTCTTTCTTTCTTTCTTTCTTTCTTTCTTTCTTTCTTTCTTTCTTTCTTTCTTTCTTTCTTTCTTTCTTTCTTTCTTTCTTTCTTTCTTTCTTTCTTTCTTCTTTCTGTCTGTCTCTCTTTTCTCCTTCCTCCCTCCCTCCATCTCTCTCTCTCTTTCTCTCTCTCTTTTTTCCCCTCCCTCCCTCCCTCCCCCCTCCCCCCTCCCCCCCCTCTCTCTCTGTCTCTCTCTCTCTCTCTCTCTCATTTCTTGCAAGGTGAGACCCTGGCACCCTCTTTCCCCAAAGTACTGGTAAGGAAAACCGGTCATGAATTTCAAGGGTCTCCTCACCCCACTGCAACTGTTACACTTAGTGACTGTTAGTTACACTTAGTTACTTTTTTAGTTACTGTTACACTTAGTGCTTTTTCATGTTTACCCAGAGTAGCTCCTTCCCGTTGGTCCGGGTGTCCTGTAGATTGAGCCTAGCAGTGTTTGTGGTGTCCTTACTAGAAGTCTTGATGGCTGCCCCCTTCAGATGGGGGAGCCCAGTGGTTTTCACAGTGCCTTACATGTGGTCTGACAAGTCCAGGCTCAGCTTGTGTGTTTCTTGCCTGGAATAGGTACTGACCCCTTTCTTCAAGGAGTCTGGTTTCCTTCTGTTGAGGACTGGATCTTGCAGCACAGCCAGGCTCCAGAGACACATACTGCTGCAGGGCCTACTGCCACCACCGCCCTGTCTATCACTGGACAGGGCAGAGTGTGTCAACATATACCCACGTCCACATTTGCCCTTCCTGTTCAGATGGTGGTACCCAGATACAAACTGGATCACCACTATGTCTGCTTCTCCACTCTCAGGAATGTTCAGCAGGATTGGAGTGCTGTGAGTAGTTAGTGTTGACCAAGACACCCTCAGTTATCAGCAGGGACTCCAGTGCCCCTTGCAACAGTTACTGAAGACAGTTATCATGTATTTTGTAGTTGTGTTCTCCTGTTTGAAACAGTTGTTATTAGTGGTGGTGGGACACAAGGGGCCCTCCTCCCTCTCCCAGTCTTCCTCACAGTGCCCAGTACCCTCAGCTGACTGTCTCTTCTACTGATTTTGGTTTTCTGAAGTTGGGTTTTTTTTTTTTTCAGATTCTCTATTTATTTATTTGTTTAATTTTGTTTTTTTGAGATAGGGTTTCTCTGTGTAGCCCTGGCTGTCCTGGAACTCACTCTGTAGACCAGGATGACCTCAAACTCTCAGAGATCCGCCTGCCTCTGCCTCCCAGCCCTGGGATTAAAGCGCACACCACCACTGCCTGGCTTTTTGCAGATTCTTTACAATGGGTTTGTGTATGGGGGGGGGGGGCTGTTCCTAGACATTGTATGTGAATCAAATTTGCTGCCTTTATTTAGACTTGATGGTGATTTTTGTTTAGATATAAAATTCTTGGCTTACATTTCTTTCTCATAGTTTCATTTTATTATTTGATTATATGTATGAGTGTTTTGTCTGCATGTATGCCTGTTATGTGCACGCAGTGCCTTGAGAGGCCAGAAGATGGTGTCAGACCTCCTAGAGTTGAAGCTGAAGATGGTTGGGAGTTGCCATGTAGGTACTGGGGATAGAACTGGGGTTCTCTGGAAGAGCAGTACTTTTAACTGCTCATTCCCTCTCATAGTATCTTAAATATTTTGATCCATTTTCTTTTGCCTGGTTTGATTGAATTCTCTTTGTGTTGTAAGCCATCTAGTCTTTTGCTTGGATGTATAAGGAAAAATTCTTTTCCCTCTAGGTATCTGGTGTACCTCTTTTTTTTTTTTTTTTTTTTTTGGTGTACCCTTTTTAATAAGTGGTTTCAGCAATGCCCCACTTCCACTTTCAGGAGCCCCTCCCTTTCTTTCTGTGCTGGCTGTGGAACCTAAGGCCGTGTGCTTGTTATTGCTTAGCTGTGCCCCAGCCCCAGGAGACTCTTGGGTAACAGTCCTGAGATCTGTTTCGTTGCCCTGACTTGCTCCTGTTGTTTCCCAGTACACTTTTGGGTCTTCTTCACCTGCTTTCTGTATTGCATTTTTGAACATCCTTGTAGTCTTTTTTACTCCCTGTGTTCCTATTTTTTTTCCTGTTGTTGTTGTTAGGACTCTACCTGTCATATTTGTTTGCTTTTGAGTTCTGTCTATTGTGGTGATATTTTGCAGACTGGCAGGTGAGAGAGTGAGAGAGATTTAGCTGGGAGGTACCAGGAAAACTTTTAGCTACAGTCTGTCTTGGTCTTTCTGTAACTGTTCATTTGCAACTGTTTATTTAGATCTGTGTTGATGGACCTGGCTTCAGTTTCATGTTGGAGAGTAAGGTCTCTGGCAGCTTAATCAAAACATCACAGGAGCTGGAAGAAAGTCGCAGATGGATCTGCTAGGGGAAGTTCTTGGGGGCGGGGTGTCTGGAGGGCCATGCAGCTATGACACTGGTTGGTTCACTGGGATGTGATAGTCACCGAGGAGGCTGAGGAACCATGGGTTGCAGGTCGTGATTGACAGAGTGCTCCTGTAGGCAGCTGGGGCCCACTGGAGATGCTAGGCTTGATGTGAGGGCTCCAAACCTGCTTAGAAAGGTGTGCTTGGAGGTGGCATGAGGAGTGAGTGGGGAAGTGAGGCTTTCACCTGGGGCCATCCCTTCACTTTTTTCTTTAAAGGAAATAAAACCAGATAGTTATTTGTGTTTCTGAACATTTCTGAGTGCTCAGGAAACATGTGGAGCCCTGTAGTGAAGCACCTGCAGACTTCTAAGACCCCTTGGCCGCACAGGGCTAGTGATCTATCTGTTCTGCACTGTGACCGTTAATCTTCCCTTGTGGTTCTTGGCATTTGTTTTGCAGGTGACAGAAAGCCCATACCTCGCGACCTCTGGATTCTTGCTTATTGGTGTACCCCTCTTCTCGTGTTCTGGATGATGTCAGAACAGGACTTGGCGGATGTGGTTCAGATTGCAGTGGAAGACCTGAGTCCTGACCACCCAGGTAGAGCTGTGAGACAGTAGATGAACTGTTGCTCTGTCTTTCCAGTATCAAAAACCACTCTGCTGGACTTTGTTCCCTCAGTAAAGCAGACGTAACAGTGATGTTAGCTCTGTGTGAAAACTCAAATCATGGGATGTAAGCAGTGCTGCGCACAAACACACACACACACACACACACACACACACACACACACACACACACTCATACACACACACACACACAGGAGTTCAGGCCATTGCTCTAGAGGCATGTGGTGTGTTGCTAAGAGAGATCTGTAGATGGTAGAATCGTGTCCTCTCCAATGTGAGTGAGTACACAGAGTCTGGAGGAATGCACAGGCAGTCAGTGTCACCTGTTTTAGGCAAGGAGGTGTGAGAAAAACTAAAACAGTGAAATGAAAACATTTGTGCATAAAGGTCAGTAAAATATTGACCGTGGAATTCTGTAATCATAGATTAGTAGATCTATGAAGGTCATCTGTGTCAGACCAGAGCAGTGGCTCAGAGATTGAGAGCACTTCCTCTTCCAGAGGACCTGAGTTCTGTTCTCATGTTAGACAGCTTACAACTACCTGTAACTCCAGCTCTAGGGGATCTGATGCCCTTTCCTGGCTTTTGAGGGCACCCCCACACATGTGGCATAATCCACATAGATGTATACACATAAATAAAATTACCTAATAAAATATAATATACACATAAATAAAATTAATAAATAAATAAAAATTTTCTTAAGAAAATAATTGTTAGCTGGGCAGTGGTGGTGCACGCCTTTAATCCCAACATTCTGGAGGCAGAGGCAAGCGGATCTCTGTGAGTTTGAGGCCAGCCTGGTTTACAGAGCGAGTTCTGGGACAGCCAGGGATACACAGAGAAACCCTGTCTTGAAAAACCAAAAAACTTAGAGAGAGAGAGTGAGAGTGAGTGTGAGAGAGAGACAGAGAGAGAGAGAGCGAGACAGAGAGAGACAGAGAGAGACAGAGAGAGAGAGAGAATGATTGCTCCTGTGAAGAGAAAAGGACTAGATTGCACAGGTCAATAGAAGTGCAGTTTGCAGAGATAATGTCATAGTGAGCACTGCTACTCTTTGACTCTGGCACGCTTTGACCTTGTTTTGTACTTCATTTTGGATGAGATTAGGAAGTTGGGATGGTACTGCAGAGGCTGGGATTGGGGTTACCTTGCTTATCTGACAGCAGATAAGGTCAGCAGGAGCTGCTGGTGGGCAACTCTTGCGTGGCTGCAGCTTCCACATAACTCAACATGTTGGCTATGCTAGTTTGGGGCATATATGACACACAGCGAAGGTTTTGACTGTTGGTACATATGTGCCTCTCAGCCCCATGTTGGGAGTGGGCCCAGGACCAAAGGCTAGGGGAGGTTGCTTTTGACTTTGCAATGGGTTAGACAGCAGACACACTAAATGAAGCTGGGAAGAAGTCATGAAGGTTTAGTGTGGCGTTGTCTACTGGACTCTGGAGAGCATGGATTGGGTGGTCTGATGTTTTTGTGGGGTGAGGGAGGGCCTTGTTTCTGCCTGGCTGAGAATTTTAACAAAGTAATTAAGGTGCCAGCACTGTGCTTGGCTGTGGTGGTAAAGAGCCCTGACAGTCTCGCCATGCTCACTCTAGTTTCTGTCTCTGGTTGCTTTTCAGTTGTTTTGGAGAATCATGTCGTGACAGATGATGATGAACCTGCTTTGAAGCGCCAGCGACTAGAGATCAATTGCCAGGATCCCTCTATAAAGGTCTGGGTCCTGTGTGCATTGTGTCAATTTTCTACCATCGCCTTGAGCTTTGAACAGCAGAACTGACCCTCTTGCAGCCCTAGAGTGGCAGGGCCATGCCTTTTGGAATTCCAGGGGAGGCTCTTCCTGCCTCTTCTGTGCTGTGACCTCTAGGTAGTCCCAGCCTTGTCACTAAAGTCTATGTCTGAGGCCTATCCTCACCCAGGCCTGGATGATCTCATTTATTTAAATACATCTGCAAAGACCCTTTTTCCAGATGATGCCACAGTCAAGACCTGGGCTTGTAGCATGGAGATGCCACCGAAAGGCTATATAAAAGCACAGGCCAGGTTCCTGGCAAGAGGAGAGGAGGAAGCATTAGACTGGGAGGGCAAATGAGATGTCTTCCCTGTGTGTGCATAAGCCTGCCTCAGATGGGAGGAAAGCTGAGGGTCGCTGTGGCCCCCCAGTTCTGAGGTTTGCTGGGGTTGGAGGCCCCTCGGTCAGTCAGTGAATTGCTTCTGGATTTGCTTATTTGGGACTCAATGTCTGCAGAACCGCAGGTAAGTTATTAGCACAGAAGTTACAACAGCATCTTGGTGATACCAGTCCTGTTCACATGCTTCCTCTGTGTCGAGGGCATCTGCTTGAGATGCTCAGTTCACTCTGGTAACCAGGAGAAGCAGTGCCAGTTGCAGTGGGGAACTGAAAAATCAGCTCAGACCGGGAGTGATGATGCACACCTTTAATCCCAGAAGGCAGAAGCAGGTAATCTCTGAGTTCCAAGACCAGCCTGGTCTACATAGTGAGTTCCAGAACAGCTAGGGCTACATAGAGAAACCCTGTCTCAAAAAAAAAAAAAAAAAAAAAAAAATCAAATCTGTTTAGTGAAATCCAACTTCAGACCAGTGGACAGAAGGATGGCAACAGATTTCAAAGTAAAGTGTGATCCTAATTGTATCACAGAACACATTTGTAAACAGAAACAGACCAAGTGGAAAGGGAAGTAGCTGTCTGGGTTCTGGTGGTACTGTTAACAGCACACTTCGCATGCATGCTGTCACATGTAACCATGTGCTGTCATGGGATTGGAAGACATTCACATGCCACATTGCTAGCTGTAACTCAACAGACAGGTCGGAGCTGTTTGTGGTCATCCTTACTTGTGGAGCAGTGTTGTTAGGAAAAAATATTATTTCCCTTCTTTCTTTGTGGATTTACTTGAGACATTAGTTAGTCTGTAATAGTGATTTTTTTCACCCAAACTCTAGACAGAACATTTCTCATTCAGAGTTAAAACAATGGTTTAACTATTAAAAGAACTTGGGAGGCAAATAGTTGATGCTGTCCAGTTATAAAGAATAGTGGTCCATGGTCTTGTCTCAAGAACTGTCCACCACTTAGTGCTCATGATGCCTCTATCTCCCTGCACTGTTGACATTGCCTCCAGTGATGACCAGGACCCTTGGAGATGAGTCCAGTGCTGCTGCTTGTTTCCTCCGGCACACAGCCTTGGTGTTTGCTTCTGTGGAGAATGGTTAGCAGGGGAGGGTCCTCTCTTGAACCCTTTCCTTACTGGTGGTGCTGTGCAGAGGTAGATGTGAGGGTTTGGGGTATGGAGGACATTTCTGGGGCTGTTCCTAATTGCTGCAGGTAGCAGGGGATAAAGCAAGCTCAGAGTTCTTGCGAGCCAAGGTTGGCTGCTCAGAGTGCTCTGGACCCATGCATTCATGCTTCTTTGCACCTAGGCTTTGGTGATGTGCTATATGCCACTGTAACTGTTGTGATTTTGATAGTATTCTGTGGTTCCCTTTCAAATGAGAAGAGACTGGCCCCCACTAGCTTGGACTAGGTGCGGAGAGGCAGGCTGTTCTGACTGCCTGTGTTCTGAGGTCCAGGGTCAGCCTGAGCTGGAGCCTCTACTCTTGCCAGCTTGCACCTTCCTTCTGATGTGCCCCTAAGGCTACACATCTCCTCCAGTCGACTCCTCATTCTGTTTTCTTCAGATGTTGCTGGCCTTATTCCTGTATTTCCTGTCGTTAATCAGCACCCTGAATGCTGGCCTAGACGTCTTTTTCACAGTAAAATTCCTATGTGTGTCATGCATCTGGTGGCTCCTGACAGGACTGGCAGTTGAGGGAGTGAATGAGGCCTTTCCCTCTGGTCTGCATGTTCTTGTGTTTAAACATGGCTGCTTGCCGGCTTATTTCAACTTGGTAGTTGCTCCTTTTGTGGGCCACTAGGTGGCATGCTTGCTATTTAGAAGGTCCTTGGAAGGGATCTTTGCCAGATTTCAGTGGAGTATACCAGTGTCGAGCCATTTTTTTGGGTGGCTGGATACAATGTGAGTGTGCAGTGTTTTCCAGGCTGTTTGGATGTTAGGTATAATCTGTCATCATAAGAAAGATTTTGTAGTTTTAACGTGTGAGTCTACTGATGAACACATGACAAGCTTATTACTGCATGACCTTAATGCAGGTGAGATTGTGAAAGGGTCTTGTTTGATACAGAGGGCTGGGCTTCTCACTGAATACCTGGGCACTGCTCAGGGCTTCTCACTGAATACCTGGGCATAGCCCAGGGCTGAATTGGGTGGAGTGAGGAGCCAGCTGTTTAGGGTCCATGAACTTGCCCCTCACAGCGTGAGACACCCTCTCTGAAGCTTTTCTGTTTTCACTTCCAGTCTTTCCTGTACTCTATTAACCAGACGATATGTTTGCGGTTGGATAGCATCGAGGCCAAACTGCAAGCTCTGGAGGCTACTTGCAAATCTCTGGAAGAGAAGCTCGACCTGGTCACCAACAAACAGCACAGTCCCATCCAGGTCCCCATGGTGGCTGGTTCCCCACTTGGTGCCACCCAGACCTGCAACAAAGTGCGATGGTAAGTACAGAAGAGCCAAGGCTCCACAGGCCATCCTGGGAAAGTGCTCCTGTGCCAACCCAGGCGCCACTGTTACTGATCTGCCCGAGCCCCGATATCTGCCCTGGTGGTTCCATGGTACTGGTTTCACTTAGACCGAAACCAAACACAGACTCTGTGCTGGAATGACCTGAGTCGCTCCAACTTTCTTCTTGGCTTAAGCAGATGGACTCCTCTTTCCTTGCACCTGGCCGTGAACTTGGCCCATGTATGTTGCTTCTTTTCTTTTCCTCCCTCTGGCTGGTCATTGCCTACGTTTTCTTCAGTGGTGGTGTTTATAAAATTTACTTGATCATAGCAAACTTTCTGCTAAGTCTGATACTTGCATTGTGCCTAATTTTAAAATAGAAGGTTTGTAGCCTCCTAGAGAGCTTTGTATGGTTTGTACTCTGCTAGCATGAAAGGTTCATGCTTGGCTTAGTGGGATGGAAAGGTGCCTCAGAAGGTGTCCTTCTAAAACCTGGGTCCATATGCAGTGTGGCATGAGATCCTTCAGGACAGCAACACCCACCCAGTACTCCTGCTATTTTTATTCTTTTCTACAGTGTCGAGGAGGAAGTCCGCTTGTGGTAGTGGGCACAGTGTTATCTTTGCGCTCTAAGGCCTACAGCCTCTTACCTGTTGGGTTTGGGAAGAACAGAAAAGTTGGGTGGCAGTGGGAGCCACAGCAAGGCTAGAGGGACACCAGTGGCTTTGCTGAAGGTGGGTGTTTGCTGGATGCCACCTTGCCCATGGGTGCTGGTAACTAGAGCAGCAGTAGGTGCCTTGTGGATTTTAAGGAATATGGGGAAGGGAGAGTAGGGGTTACTTTGGATGGTTTTGAGGTGCTCGAGAATAGAAGTGACTGCTTGTCCTCTTTCTGAGATGGTTCCTAATGAGGCATGCTGGACAGAGTCACTCACTGCCTCCTGCAGCTCTCAAGAGCACCTCAGCTTCACCCTTCGTCCCCCTCTGTCATGAGGAATTTGGGTGTCTAGCTTCTCAGAGGAGGCAGGGTTGCTCTTGTGACTGAAGTGGGCTGCCCAGCTCATCATGTCTCTCCCCACAGACACTTGCCAGTGTCTGTGCAGGCTTCCTTTTAAGCTCGCAGAAAGACCGATTGCCTCTTAAGGCAGTTGTTTTTGAAATGCCCCTTTGTCCCCAAACATAATGTTCAGAAATACAGTTTTAAGTATGGAGTGGCCTACTTTACAAGAGGGAGGCACGTGTGGAAGGACAGCAGCACGTGGTAAAATCTGTGCTTCAGCATGCGATGGATGGCAGAGATAAGCCTCACATGTCTTCTGGTGTGAGGCTGTGGTTGTAAGCACCAACCAGTTGGCAGTGGAATGTTCAGAATGGCGAATTCTTTGTGCCATTTCCAATGATGCTAAGTGTAATTCTTTCTAGACTGACAGCTAGTTGAGTTCCTAGAAAGTTCAAGTTATATAAAAACTGTGCAAGGATATCTTGTGTCTGAAGTCCACATGGGACACATGGTCCTCATGTGAATGCTCAAGACCTAGGCCTTTGTGTGTTAGAGGGTTTCATGTTAGAGGAGATTGTTTCAGGCACTGAAGGCCATCTTAGCCTCTTTGCCCACAGTTAGACTCTGGTAGCATCTTACATGGTAACCAGGTCTGTCACACTGACTCCAGAGCTTCTGAGCCTGCACCAAACAGCACCGATGTTGTCAGAGGGAGATAAAGGGCAGTGATCCTCTTCTCTCATAAGGTAATGCCTATTTAGGGGATAACACCTCAGTCATCACTCCTGAAACAGGCTGTCTTCAGGACTGGGGAAGTGTTGACAATATCTTTTTCTCTGTTCTAGTTCTGCCAGGTTATGGGAGGGCCTGGAGTGGAAGAGGGTGTGTTTTTGTGGCCTGGCCTCAAGGGCATATGTTTTGGAATTCTGTCTGTTTGGGAGCACTGGGTGTCAGGGTCACCTGGTTGGATGTTCCCAGGTCCCAGACATTTCCAAGATCCAGTTTTGTCATTAGAAAGATAGAGAGCTGAGACACTACTACTTGGGTGTAGTGGTGACAGGGGCCATGTTCTCTAGAAAGCTGTTAACAGGAAACCTGAGAGCATCCTAGAGGATGAGCGCTGAATCCTAGGATTTCAGTGAAGGATGGATGAAGTCAGTGATGAGAAGAAATGAGAATTGTTCCCACAGAACCTGGGCAGTGGGGCATAGACTGGTTTCCAGAAACAGCTAAAAGGCAGTATCATACTGGATAATAAGGTCCTGTGCTCTGTTTACCTGGGGCCTTGGATACTTAAGAGAAGTACATAAGCCGAATGATCTTATGTCCAGATCATATACTCTTAACTTAGTCACCTGGGACCACTACTCGCTGGCTGTATGTGTAACTCACAGGACTAATATAGGTGTCATCCTCAAAGTCTTTGAGCTCTAAGGAGGCCTCCACAGAGCACATAGAGCCAGTCCCTGAAGGATACTGCCTCCCATTTGGAGAGACTGCAGAGGTCCAGATCTAGCAGGAGGTGGGTCCCAAGGCCCTCTCTCTGCTCTGGAAATCTGTGCCCTCTGCTGGTCATAGCCTACCTGGTTGGACAGGCTGAGGCTGCTGTGGGCTCCAAGGGGTGCTCATCTAATTGTTTGTGCTCCTTGGCAGACAGAAGGCCATGGAACACTGCCAGCCACAGCTGGCATTGGGTCCAGATTTTCAGATTCTGCACCTGAATGAGTAAATTCAAGAAAAATAAATAAATAAAAGAAGGCCTGTTTTCTTTGATGCCAAAGCTTAATCACGATAAAAATGTTTGTAAGGTTCCAGGGATGGGGTTTCATCCTGCAGTGGCAGTTGGCTTCCAGAGATGGAAATGGACTTTAATTCTCTTGTGCCTGGCTTGAGTCTCTCCTGTAGGTATGCCATTTGACTTTGAATAGTTGTACTTGTAGGGATGGCAATGAGGTATGTTAATGTTGAGGATGTTTGGAGAGGCAGTAGGTGTTGAAGCATCTACATCGTTGTGGAAAGCCTGTGATTTGATTAGCCAGTCTTTTAATGCTGGGCTTGAAGCATTCCAATAAGGCCAGTAATGTGTTGCCAGCACTGGCATCTTTTTTTCTTTTCTTTTCTTTCTTTCTTTCTTTCTTTTTTTTTTTTTTTTTGGTTTTTTGAGACAGGGTTTCTCTATGTAGCTTTGCGCCTTTCCTGGAACTCACTCTGTAGCCCAGGCTGGTCTCGAACTCACAGAGATCTGCCTGCCTCTGTCTCCTTAGTGTTGGGATTAAAGGCGTGCGCCACCACCGCCCGGCTCAGCACTGATACAGCTTCAGGCCAGGAACCAATGCAGGCAGTAACCAGAGTGATAGCATGATGCCTCCAGGGTTGTCTTGTAGAACCATATTACTTGATAACAACTTTTAAAACCAGGCATTTCTGTTTGTTTTTGACTAAGACTATTACCTAGGACAAAGTTTCTTTCTTTCTTTTAAAAGCAATAGATATTTTGCTTTTAAAGGTTTAAAAATATTTTAGGACTGGAGAGGTGGTTTAGTGAGTAAGGGTTCAGTCGCCAGCACTGTGTAAACCCAATGTGGTAGCATATGCCTGTCATCCCCACACTCAGGAGGTACAAACCAGGCGATCAGAGTTTAAGGTTATCTTTAACTACACAATGAGCTTGAGGTCTACATGAGACTATGTCTCAAAAGCAAAACCAAACCAAGCACACACGGAGGGAAAAAACCAGTTGTGATGAATGAAAGGTTTTTGTATAATAGTGGTTTTCAAAATTTTTTTTCTCTTTTGTTTTTTGAGACAGGGTTTCTCTGTGTAGTTTTGGTGCCTGTCCTGGATCTCGTTCTTGTTGACCAGGCTGGCCTCAAACTCACAGAGATCCGCCTGGCTCTGCTTCCCAAGTGCTGGGATTAAAGGCATGTGATATCATCGCCTGGCTGGTTTTCAAAATTTAAAAAAAAAAAAAAGTGATTTTAAAACTTCCCTCAGGGCAGTTGCACAAAACTTAGCTCTTTTCTTTTCTCTTCAGACTTTAGTAAACTTTAGAAACTTGAAGTGTGTGATGGAGAATGGTTTAAACTCCCTCTAGCAATCCAACTACATATATTAGTTCCCAGGGATCTTTCTTAGTTCCCAGGGATCTTTTGTTTCCCATTGAAGGAAGCTCATGGGGAAGCTGATCTAGCTCCTATCTTACCTGCTTCTTGGAGAACTGGTCTCCTGCTGAACATCTCTTCTGTGAGTGCTGTGGGAACCTTATGTTTCCTGCATCCGTTTGGGGCCGTCGGCATTCTCAGAAGCCTCTACTCTGTAGGCTCAGATTGTGGTAGGATCAAGATAGGGCTGTTAGACCGTGGAGTATCTGGTCTCTCGGCAGTGATGGGCTTGTTTACTTCTTATCTAATTTTGAGTTGTGGATGTTTCTGTTTAATGTCATGCCTGATCTTCCTGCCTGGCCTGTGCTGCCTTGCACAGCCATACACGTTCCTCTCTGCATGTCAGGGCTGAGTATTAACCAGTGGGCCACCAGTTCACATACATGAAGCTTAAGGAGTCCTTAGCAAACCCTGCTAACTCAGAGAAATGCTCCATTCCCCAAAGCCAACACAGCAAAGTGAACTGTCCTGATAGATTGTGAATGTTCTGACAGCTCAGATGACTTCCCCAGACCTGCAGAACCATGCTCTTTGAAGGGAACTGTGCTGCCGGCTCCAGGTTGCTCTGGGAAGAGTTGTCATCATGACCATCCTGGGTTGTTTGAGGAACAAAGTGAATCTCTTCATCTATGTGTCATGTTTTTATTTCTCCCAGTACAACTCTTGTACATTTCTTATTGTTTCTAAGTACTTCATAATTATATATGTAGTCCAAACCCCTTTGCTGAGACATGGTCTCGTGTATCCTAGACTGGCCTCTGACTGCCTCTGCTCCTACCTCATGAGTGTTGAGCTTTATGAGGTGTTGGGGCTCAAACCCAGGGCTGTGGACA